AGCTGAGGAGGCTCCAAAGCACTGAGATATGCCTGTTGAAGCAAAAATAACAAAGTGACAGTCATTTAAGTCGACTGCTGCTCTCAGCATTAGAAGGTGGGCACACATTGAGGCATTGTCTGTTGATCTCTACAAAACAGGTCATTCGGAGCTCCATCCACACTTGATTTGCCGTCACTTCCGAGTGTCAACAGTTGGACGCAGGGATTTCCACCGACTACCTAACTGACACAGTTTGCCTCATGGCGACGGACAGAGACAGTGCAGACACTGCAAATCCTCAATCAGTGATTTTTGCCACTTCTACTCGGTTGGGATGACGGTCGAGCCTTCATGAAGCCATGCAGGTGGAAGACGACAGTGTTTCCTCCCTTCCCCACTGTCTGCATGCACACACCCACTTCTGAGTGCCCACGGTTTTTCATTAAACAGCCTCAATTTAAACCACTACTAGAGTAAGAACACTGCACCTCTTCATTTTGATTGCAGACTCCGTGTGTGTCCCTGCTTTGTGCATTCACTCAGCGTCAAGCACAAGTCACTGGTGAGGCTCTGACCACATGGCACTGCTCCCTTCGGGAGCCCCTCCTCTCGCCAATGGTTAGTGTCCATCTGAGAGGACAAGTTGACGCGTTGAATGGGCACTGACCCGTCTCCTCACCGCTTTGCGGGGGGATCACAGAATAACATCAAATGTGACACAATGCCCTTCCACTCAGCGATTTCTCTTCACTCTTGGCTACACATCACCAATGAGCACAAATCTTGAACGAAGCACATTACTTCAGCAAAGCTGATTGTAGCACCTACGAAAGCGTTTAAGATGGCTTTTGTGGAGGAGGGGCGGAAAAACAATCCGACCACGATTAGGTTGGTTCGTGGAGAGACGTGCTTTGGGTGACATCAGCCTACTCATCCCTCCTCCATCCTGAACAGGGAACAAAAGATGCCGCATGCTTCGTCCTCCGTGATGCACCATTCGCATGCTTTAAAGCGCCGTGCCTAGCAAAGCCTTGGAGACAAGTCTGATGGAAGGGAGGTGGGAGGGAGGGAGGGAGGGAGGGAGGGAGGAAGAGGCTACAGTGACACGCTTCAAATTAATGCCGCGCACTTTTCAAATTCCCTTGGCATTAAATTTTACAAAGTGAATAATGGCTTGAGGTGTAATGCACATCAGCGCGTTTAGGTTTGCCTTTACAGGGGAGAGGTGGGAAAGCCACAAATGGAACAAGAATCGAGTGGGTGAGGAGTGTGAAGACTCCTTTCAGGGTGGCGACGGCTTTCCGTCTCATCAATCCTCCTCCATTTCTGTACACGGAGCCCACTCAAGCTACCCCAGATAACTCTCCGCTGAAGTCCGAGGTTGAGGGGCTTGAGGATAGGCGGGCAGGTCCTACACCGATGCACCAAACTGCATGACAGCCTGCTTGACTAGTCTCGTTGATTGAAGCCAACCCCAAATTGCCATTCAAAAGCCAGATGGACCACCCTGGCACACGGTATGTGAAGCGCGTGTCTGCTCGTTAAAGTCGTAGCCAGTGGGGGAGAGGCGCGAAATGGCAACAGTTGGCCGGATAACTTGTTCCCAATTAGGCATGCTCGATAATACTTTGGTCGAAAAGTTCCCCTTTTAAGGGAGCTGAGATGGAGGGGGAGGAGGATGAGAGGCAAATGGGATTGAAGTTGTAATTAAAATGTGCGCTATTCTGTTCAGAGGAGGGTGTGGACTGGCAAATTGGCTGTAGTGCAGTGGTCTGAGAGGGAGGCCTCGATTTCTCGGGCTCGGTCATGAGCAGGATCGGAGTGAGGTTGGAGGCGATGTGTTGTGACATTGGCAATGCTGGCAGTTGCAGGCCATAGCAGTGAGGTGTGCACGTGCGCGGGTTGGTGTCAGAGAGGGGCTAGAGTGGTGAGGTGATGAGGCGTAGGTGGTGTTAGTGTGGATGGAGGTAAGGGTATGAGATGGGAGGCGAGGAGAGGAGGGTGGGTAAAAGGGTGATTGGAAAGGGAGGTTGAGGAGGGTTGTTAAGGTCGGAGGAGGACCGGCTGGGCGTGGTGGCGTGCGCCTGTAATCCAGCTACATGGAGGCCGGGTGGCGGGAGTCGTCGTCGCTGGGAGTTCCACACTGCACGCGCGCATGTGGATCGGGCGTCCACGCCAAGCACGGCGTCGATATGGCGGCCATGTCGGAGGACTGTGACCGCCAGGTCGTCTAAGGAGGGGTGGACCGGGCGAGGGGGGAAACCCAGCAGCCAAAAGCTCCCACGTGGTGCAGTGGCGGGATAGCGCCTGTGAATGGCGAGTGCAGGATGGCCCAGAGGGCGTGCGACCACTTCCACCTTTATTAACACCAACCCTACCATCTGTACCATCGATCCTCCACCATCGATCACATCCACCTACCCTGCCACCTCACTCTCACTCCAACATTCCTGCCTACTCTACTAACTGCAATTCAGTAGGACAATTGTGTGCACACCTCTAATGCCTGAGGCATCGACAAGACGGTGGGCGCCCATGCTGGCAGGTTTGGTCCCACCACCATTGGCGTTAGGCTGACACTTTCCAGCACCTTCTTCCCGCCACTCTGCACTCACCGTTCACCACACAATGTCATCACGACGTTACCACACGTCGTGGTGGCCTTTCTGTTCTCCTTCCACTGTTGTGGACGCCCTTCTCGTCGGTACGTCAACTGATGGTTAATTGCTGAGCTCCATTTTGCATTCGCATTCTGGAGCACCTCAGACTTTCCTGCTTTGCTTAAGGCCATTCTCCGCCTATTTGCCTGCGCATACCTCGCCAGTCCACTTCAAGTCAATTTAATTCCTTCAGCCACACCTCGAGCTACACCATTAAGTTCATTACAACCACATGTGAAAGCAAATCGTGCTTGAAAATTCCTCCTGTGCGCCTTCACTACTGACGTACTAAAATGCATTCAGTTGTCCACATTATACGCAATTATAACGACGAGTCGACGTGTTTTAGGCTTGACACTCACTTATTAATTCACATTTTCCTGAGAGGTGTCTCCACGTTTTTGGCTTTAACGAAATTAATGGACCTTCTTCTTGATTGTACTGCACTTGAATTCGCAGGGAAGTGAAGTGAGTTTCCATGTTTGCGACTGTTATTTTGAAGCAAAGCTCATTGTTATGAGGTAAGGAGCGAGGATCAAATGCGCCATGTCAATACACTTGCATACTATTGAGTGGTCCAATATGAAGGCTTTACTGCAGACGTGGTGGTTCTGGGTTGGAGGTAAAGACTCGCAGTTGACACATGTTAAGGCAGACAATGGAAGTGGACCGAAATAAATGGCGATCTGGCTGGCAGCGAGGCCTAATTTGCAAATTTGTACGCTTTGCAGGCATGAGTGACAGCCAAATTAAGCTGAAGGCCAGTGAAATCATCGCATCTTCTTCCTCCAATTCTAATGCGCATAAGTTATTGATTGTTCCAGGGTTCGCAATGAAATGTGGGGTCACTACGTGTCAGTTTCGTGTGGGAGAGAGCAAGGGCACTCGGAGGGTGCTGGCTGACGAAAGCAAAAATTTGAGGAGTAGGAGAGTGAGGTAGACGGATAGCAGACAAATGTGAGCAGCAATTAATGCAGCGCCAGGACTGTTTGCATTGTCAGAAGGCGGGACAAAGTCATGGAGTGGGTTGCCATGTCCACTTGTCAGGTCGAAGGTCGAGGCAAGTCAGTCGAAGACCCGATAAAGAAAAGTAATTCATCGTAACACCATTGCGAGAATGGCCGGCGTTAATGAGGAAAGCGCGAAAAGCGCAAATGGGCAATTAAATTAGTGGACGAGTAACAACGCAGGTGACATTGTGTGGTGAACGGTGAGTGCAGAGTGGCGGGAAGAAGGTGCTGGAAAGTGTCAGC